TAATGTACAGTATGTGGAAAATAATGTGTTTTTTGAACTTTAAACCGCATAAACACATTTCATTACACCAAATACACAAAATAATGTTCTTTTTAGCAGCATCATATGACCCCTTTAAAGAGATAGTTCTCCCAAAAATTAAAATTGTTGTTATCTACCCACCCTCATGCTGTTGCAACCCTGTGTGACTTTCTTTTTTCCATGTAACACAAAAATGAGAATTGTAATAATTGTGGTCATCCTTTTCTATGCAGTTACAATGGTAATGGACCCTTTCAAGCTTACAAGGACACAAAAGCACCAATAAAGTATGATTAAACAAGTATTCTATTCAACTAGTTGTATTAAAGGTCTTTTCAAGCCATACTATAGCTTTTATTTAAGATTTAAAATGCGTTAAATCACTGCGTTTGAGTCAGCCGGGTTTCCATCCAAAGTTGTGAATTTAATTTAAGCGCAAAATTGGAATATTGCATAAAACGTGCAAATAATCACCGTTTCCATCCAACGAGTTCGAAGAGAACAAAATCGTCACTTCCTGAAAAACTGTCACTAAATATCACTAAGAAAAGTAGGAGAAGCCACTGAATATATTAATTTTCATATATAATAAATTACTTGCGCATCAGAGCGAGCAGACGAAACACAATAAATGTGGAGTGGTGGAGGTGGGTGCTGCTGTTTGGAAATGCGGTTGTGTAAAACAGTTCTGGGAGGCAATTATGCAGAAACACTTTGACAACTGACTTTGCCCGGACATTTAAGAATGACCATAACAACATTTCAGATGCTGTGCAACAAGATCGGTCCACTGGTTAGTCAGGTTATGCCGTCCCATAGCGCAAAGTCACATGACTTTTTTGATGCGCATGGAGGATTTTAATCGCAAAATGCGTTTCCATCTCCCATTATTCGCATTAACCCTTTTTCGCACAAGTCAAAAACCACCTCAAGCGAGTGTAAAATCTTTTTTGCAAATTAAGGGATTTTTTTTTCCCCACGAAATTGGGTGTTTCCATCACATCACTCGTTTCCGATGCGATACTTCAAAATGCGCATAAAAACAGGGTGATGGAAACATAGCTTTTGAGTAGAACTCTAGACCTCCAAAACCAGAACAGTCAATCAGACCTGATTTGTGAACTGATTTATCTGATTCAGATGATTTGACTCAAAAAAAGCAAAAAAAAAAGAAAAAAAGAATTTGTCATCGCTAGTTTCTCTCATGAACGTTAAGAAGATTTTCATTGAATAATGACGTAAACTACTGAATGTTCCTCAAATTAAAATTGTTGTATGACTCGAAGATTATACACGAGTTGTATGGGCCGCTTTTATAATGCATTTATGGTGCTTTCTTGTCATTCACAATCCATTTTAATTATATGGAAACAAGTGGCCAGGATTCAAAACATTCAAGCTATACGATAGCTTTAAGTTTTAAATAGCTGCTAAACGCTGCGTTTGAGTCGGTGAGTTGGACTCAAGAACCAATGAATCATTCAGACCAGATTTGAGCCATTTCATCCGATTCGAAAGATCCTAAGAATGATTCATTTATAAATGAATCATCGCGGCTTTTGCTTATGAATGTTTAATAGATTTTCAGTAAATAATGATGCATGTCTGTATGTTCCTCACATAAAATATTCGTATGGCTTCAGAAGTTTACAAATGGGTCATGGACCACGTTTATGATTCCCTTGTGGTGCCTTTTGCTTATCTGGAACTTTATAACCCACTTTCATTATATGAAAACGAGCGGCCAGGATATTCTCCAAACAAATTACACAAAAGACAGTTAAACAGGTTTTGAATGACATGACAGAATTTTCATTCATTGTGTAATATTGGAAGTGCTGTGTGCACGTGCATTTTTACTGCAGCAAATGGCTTGCAAAACCTTCCTACTGCTTGAGTTTGAAGGCAGGAACTATCTTGGCATCGATTACACACACCGTCCTCCCGCGCACTTCTTTTCACCACATGTAGCTTTGCCAAAAAGCTGTCAGTCATGAGCTTTGGAAATGTAAGAATGGCTTTGCTCGCTTTTTTTCCCCAAAGCGTCAGCATTTTGTTCTTGCATGATCACACACACCGAATAAGCCAATTCATGCAGTAGCAGAACCCTAGAAAGTGTGGGTGTAGTGTAGAGACACAAAGCTGTTACAATAACCAGTTATCCTTGCTCGTTTCACACATTGCAGTAGTCCTTTTGTAGTTTAAATATTATTATAACTCGTTGGATTATAATTGTATGATATTTTAGAGAACATTACTAATATAATAACTGATAGGTTTCCATATGAAAGCTCCATTAACGTGATATATTGCAAGGTGTTTTGTGTGTACGCTTATGAATCTTCTGGATAAATCAATCCGCTACTTGTGTATTCATGTGTGAATGCATGTTTGCGTATTTATTCCATGTTAAAGCACTTCATCATATGTTGATGACACTAGTGGCACTGCATGTGGAAAATTATAGCTGTAACATAACTCGAACACAAGCAACTGTACTGTAATACTATCTGAGCTCTGGGAATCTCTATAAAGAGAGGTTATGACCTGAACCTGCTGTATAGACTGAAGCAAACTGCAGGTATTGGTTTTCTCTCCTTTTTTTTTTTTTTTGCTTTAGTTGTATGTGCAGCCCTTATAACACAAGTTTATTGCTCTTTCGTTGCTCAGGAGACTAGATTTCTCTGGTTTGCTTGTTTTTCCTTTCCTTTTTCCTTCGGAGCAATACAAATAGAAACTGAAGAAACTATTGTTGACATACGTGTACAGTAATTGTGGATGACATGACCCAGATAAATGAACAAATTATAAAAAATGACGCTGCGGTTGTGAAAAAAAAAAAATTTGCTGTTGTGAGATACGATGTCCCAATTAGACTTTATTTTTTGTTTTACTTCCATAGATCGGTTCATCTGAGAACAGTTTGTGCTGAGATATCTTCTGAAACTCTAGAGGAGAATACTGGTGTCTTTTTTTAGGAGGAAAGACTTGATTTGCTCTCGGTTTTATCTCACTGCAGTTTTGGAGAAATAGTCAAGATATTAAAGACATCTCATTTGTAATTTTTCTTTCTGATGGATTTGTATGTGCTTTTATTTCACAGCAAAGCAAACATGCCAGTTACATTTTCATGTAGATGATTGACCACATTTGAAGTTTGGGGAACTTCTAGCCAACTGTTGACATTCCAGTTTGCTTCTGCATATGTTTTTCTCATCTGTAAATCACACTGGATAAAATCATCTGCTAAATGTAAGTTTTAGTCAGAACAAGATAAGCAATAAAGCAACTATAATTGGAAGCCCATTTCCGCCACTGAATAAAAAAGGTAATTGCGACTTTTTATCTTAAAATTCAGATTTTTTTTACATTTCACAAATCGGACTTTTTTTAATATAAACTCATTTGCGAGTTACAAAGTCAGAACTGCGTGATAGAAACTCAATTGCAATTGCAAACGCAATTGTAAGAAAATGTCAGAATTGTGAGCTGACTTTTTTTGTCCCAATTGGACTTTATAACTCGCAGTTGCGAGTTTATATCAGAATTGCGAGATGTAAATTTCGCAATTTCAAAATTATATATTTTTTTTTCACTTGGTAATGGGAACGTTAGAGAAACAAACATTATTTTTACTTTTGAATGTCCTCGAATTGTTCCAAAACAAGTAGTAACGTAAAAAAATGTTTTCAGAAAAAGGTGTTCCATGAACATTGTATAAAAATTTATTTTTTCTTTTTAAGGGAATGTTCCATTTTCAAACATTGCAAACATTATAGGAACATTATTTTTTGAATATTCTCTGAATGTCCTGAAACAAGTAGCAACTTAAACATTTCATAAAAAGATGTTCCATGAACAGTGTCTAATTAAGTTTTTTGTTTTTTTTTGTTTTTTTTTGAGAACATTATTAAAGACCACCTTACTTTGAATGAACATTCTAGTAGTGTTACAGAACCCTGCCAGAATGTTAGCCAAAGTTCTGACAGCGTTCCCTGTTAGCTGGGATGGCAACAAAAACACAGCTGTGAGTGTGTATCCGACAGTAATGAAGTTAATTTACTCCGTCGAGATTCATTTCAGGGATAGATCATCTTTTTAATGTCCGTGCCAGGCCATGTGTAAGCACAGCCTGACTATATTAGCTCTCTCACGCATGTACACACATACTCGTTCACCTCTTTTGTTTATCACACACACACACACACACACACACACACACTAACTAGGAGAAGATTCCTCAGCCTCTTGATATCCCTCCAGGCCCTGTCCTCTCTCCTGTGAAATGCTCGGCTTGGTTTAATCCCTGTCTCGTCAGGCCCTTTTAATAGGAGCCTCATCTCAATGTCCGTGCACAACTGGAGCAGTCCGCGGGTTTATCTGAGGGAGATAGAGTTTCAGGCGACAAGCTGAACCCCTCTCGGCTTTACCCGTCTGTCTTGTTAAAGCGCAGAGGGAGAAGGTGCTGCCTCTGTGTTACTCTTAACTGCTCATTCATTTCTCCTTCCTCTTTCCGTTCTTCAGCACGATCGAGGCCCACCATGGCAGCACCGAGCTCCAGTGGACTCGAGGTCCTCCTCAGCACATTGCAGGTAAATGCACATTGTTTGTGAAATCATGCATCTGGATTCACTCTCGTTCTTTGACACGTCAAGCATAGGAATGCTCCACTGATGCAGGCAGGCGCGCTGGGAACACTACCCACACTTGCAGGACACTTTCCATGTGCTGAGTGAGAAAGATAAATGACATGGACCCTCAGAACCATAAAAAGTAGCATGTGGTTAATGTAAACGTGTTTACCCCCCTTGAGGCGAATTTAACAACGTTTATGTTAACGTGCGCTATGGAATGCACGCTTGAAATTTTAGCTGGTATTTGCAGATTGTTTGGCGGTATCGTCGTGAGCGCCATTTTAAATAGTGTGTACTAAGCAACTTTTTTTCAAAGGAAACATTGCATGTTCACATAGTTTTTGATTCAGTCTTTTGTTTTGTTAAAGTTGCATGCGTATTGGATTATACTAACACCTAGTGGTTTAGAGGGAACATCACGCAAATGCTTTAGTTGCAATTGCCATTTAGAAATACACCTTTTGCAGACTTCCATGATAAATATATCCCCATAAAAATTTTCAGTTAATGAGATTTCTTCTTGTCAGTCTCCATGTGGTGAGCCGCTCCAAATAAAATACAACAGTTTATTAATACTGATATCACTTTAAACATATTTTTCATATATATATATATATATATGTATATGTATATATATATATATATATATATATGTATGTGTGTGTATTTCATATTGTGTGTGTAAAACCTCTTTATTGAGGAAAAACATTATTTTGATGGTATTTGGGATAGAACTCTTTATGCATCGATACAATAGTTAATGTTGGTTTGAAATAAAAGATGTCATAGACCAGTAAACATTCTTTTTTTTTGTTTACTTTTTTTCCATATCTGTTTTGAGTAGATTTGTTGCACTCACAAAATGCCTCATATGCATCCAATTTGTACATTTAAATGTGGTTTTAATCCACTACCACAGCTTATGGTGACTGATTTCATATAAGTGATTTGTATATATCAGTTGCTGCCAATAAACCGCTGAGGCCTTATATGTTCACAGGAGGGTGACGTGACGAATTTCCGATAACTTTCTACCTCTTGCATGAAAATCAAACTCAGAAGGGCAGAAATAATTTAGTGTATGCATCAAAGCGATTAATTGAGAGTGAAAACCATAAGATGAGATTTATTCCCACTATGCTGATAAGAGTAAGGAAAAGGGGAAAAGCAAATGCAGTTTAGAAGATCTTTCTGATCTCACCAGTGGGAAAATGTATACCGCTTTAAAGTTACAGAGAACTTGAATACATATCAAGTGTTTGTTAAAGCAAATTATCTTAATCATATAATCCTCACTAGGATTAAATGACTCATTAGTTTTTTGTGTGCGTGTGTTCTGATCCATTATACTGTAGTCTGAACTACAGTTTTAAGAAAATATATATTTTTGGAAATACTGCAATATTCTTCTTTTTCTATTAATTTCAACAACAGACATTTTAAATATTTAGTATAATTCTTTCATGAAAACTCTCAGAGAGTTTAGCATGGTAATATACATGGCAATGTTAAAGTGTTTGGTTTTTGCGGAATAGATCTGCTATGCTGCTCCTGCTGCAGAAGAGCAAGTACCGAGACTTGCTACTGCCAATACATCCACTGACATGCTGCTGTGAGCATGTAGGAAATACTGCTGCTGCACATATAACATATATGAAATAATCCCCATAACATACATAAAATCACCCCGTAGCAGATCTATACAGGTGGAGCTGGGGAAGGTGGAGGGTTTATGAAGTGCACCGCATCTGCTAGCAAGCACTAGCCAAGTATTTGAATGTTGAACAGCATGTTCATCGGCTGCTTATTTTTATTTTTATTTTTTCAGAAAGGGACAGTGTACATTAATCAACATTCATGAATTAGCCCAAAGGCTAATTTTCATTGGTGGTGTGAATGAAACCAATTGGCTTTACCTATCTTAGTGTACCCTATCCCATGTCATAAAGCGTGTTTGAATGTGACAGAAAATAGCTGTCCATTTTGGGCAAAAAAAAACAAAAAAAACATACCTCTTTATGTCCTGTCAGTTCAAATAAGGATCTTTGCTGCTGCTTGGCATTGGCCATATGGCCTCGGCTCTGAAGAATTGACTCCTTTATTACAACGAAAACTGACAAGGGTAGCTAGTAATACCCTCACGATTAGCCACAGCCAGCGTGTCGCCTTCCTCCAGCCATGACTGGCATCAAACGTAGCAGTTCCAAATTCACTGTCCTTGACATGAAGCTGTTGGTGCCTGAAATGGGATTCCCGCTAATTCAAATTGAGACTGACACAGACGCTCAGGGTGCCGTGTCGGAGTTGTTTTTTTCATATTCTTCCTCTGCTTTTCCCTTCCTGATTTATAGCTCTCGTATCACCTTGCAGAGACACACCAGGTCCTGCCTTTGGTGTCTAAGATGTACAAAATCATTTTGAAGGTGTGTCAGAATAACTTTTAATAGATTTCCTGAGCTATTCAGAATTGTTTGGCCTCAAAGGAGTGGCTCCCAGCCAAAGCTCTCCCGGCACGTTCCTGCCACCCTCTTAAAAGTTAATGGTGTGCTCTGAGAGCGTAGTCAATGTTCCTCATATGAGAATTAAAAACGAACAGGGATATGAAATGAGTTCCACTTTCAAGTGGTTCCTGAGTATAATACTGCACATCCTTCTTCCGATTGGCAAATGGGAAACATTAACGCTTTTTGATTGTAGTTTGGCATAGGTGATGCCGGACCAAAATAGATGTAATTATTCTTAATTTCAAGTATCGCTGAATTATTCTGTTAAAAGATTGTTGGGCAAATAATGCACTAATGATGTGCCAGCTGGCTCTCTATGGTAGTCACACTCATTAATGTTGAGTAATTAACATGGTTGCATGGAATTAGCCCAGATGGTGATGACGGGGCCATCGATTTCCAAGAAAGAACACATGCTCCATTTTTCTAGTGTAAAAGTTCATCCTCAGTGAGTTGTAGCTTCTTCATTAAAACCAGTCACCTTCAAGTTCAGAAATTAATGGGGGTATATGGAGCGAAAATGCCACAGAATGTGACAAAAAAGCCCTAGATATAAAATTTGGGGGGGCTGAAAATGTCCTCACAATGAATTAATTTGTTCTTTATTGGTAACATTTCATATTTTTCTATTTTATGTTTCATAGTTATATAGATTTAGCATAAAACATTGATTTAATTAAGATTTGTGCCATAATTTGGCAAATAATTTTGCCATTTTTGTTCTTTTAGAAAATGATGTCCTCATAAAGGTAAAAAAAAAAGCCTCTGAAAAAAGTACCATAAAGTTATAAAAGTGATCCATGCTACCCATGTGCTTTCTTTGGAGTTTTGCCGAAAATCTTCTCCTAAATTTGCTCTCATGTAAAAAATGTAAAGACAAAAGTAAATCTAAATGCAGCCATTTTTGCTAAAATAATATAAATCATGCAGTATTTTCTTCTCATATCTCCAGAGCCAAAATCGTTTTCAGTAATTGAAATGCAAATAAATAAATATAAAATGAAATCTTAAACTTGAAGACTTAAAAAACAAACAAAAAAAATTAGAAATATTGCCTGTGCAAGTAATTGAAAGTACTAAAATTACTAAAAGTAAAAATAAACTAAATAATAAATAAAAGCTATGTAGAAATATATAAAACAAACTCCTAAACATTACTAAACGACATAAAAAATAATAAAACTTAAACTGAAATGAAAATAAAAGCTAATTAAAAATATTAGTACATTCTATAATATTATGTAAATAACACTGTCCAGAATGCATCTATTATAATAGACCCAAACAATACATCTCCACTCCCACAGAAACTAGCCCTGTTGACTTTTAAAGTACATGTATGACTGCTCTGCTGACACTGGTCTCTTTTGTCAGTTCACTAATGTGGGTAAGAGTGACATCTCCCTGGCAGGACACATCTCTTTGCGGTGCAGTTAGCTGTGGAGATGCCTAATAGGATTCAATGGCTACTGTCAGAAAGACATGGCCAGCACAGATGCAGGCAGGACAATGTTGTGTTCTCTCTCTTTCTCTGTCTTTTTTGCCCTATAATGAGAGCTGAAGCTTGAATCCCCAGCTGTGAAGTTCCTTCTCTGAGGATTACAGCCCCCGACCGCCTACCCGTCAACTGCTGCTGCTTTTAACCACGGGGCTCCGGGTCCCCGCCGGGGTACCAGCCTCACTGCGTTCTGAAAACGGACACAATGTTGGATGATTTTTGCTGTGCCAGCCAGGAAGCACTCAACACTTTATATAACACATGGGGTGTAAATAGTGATGTCATCTGTGAATGCTTTATTGGAGTTGCTTAGATTGTTTCCTGGACGTTGAGCCAAATTTTGTGTGGATGCTATAGAAAGTCTTAATGCAGAGGCCAGGTTGAGCTTTTAAGTGTGCTGCTTTTTCTGTTCTCTTTTCAGAATGCTGGAGACATTGAGAACAGGCTAAACATCCTCAATGTCCTGGATGAACTGTTGTCAGCAGGTGAGATGCCCTTTTCTCTACAGCCAAACATGTTGATTCATATTCTGTGACATCTCTGCACTGATTGCAAGTGTGCAAAAATTTGTTTCATCAACCATGAGGAGTCAAACAACTTGGTGTGTCCAATAAAACCACTAACCACTTCAACAAAAATACATTTGCTGATATATAGACTTTTTTTTTCAACTTTGGGCACTTGTATGTCCTGGGGATTGGTTTGTATTAAG